CATCATCGACAGAGGTTCGGTCATTTTTAAAACGTGAATGCCACACAAACGTTTGTGCACGACCCATTGCGGACTCCCCAAATGCTTGCTTTAGGATTTCATAGGTTTCCGTAGCCGTTTTGGCGAGTCTTTGGCAAAATTTGATGCACACGCGCCATTCCGAAATCGCAGGAGGGTCGGTGTAATGCACTACCAAAACGCCCGTAACTAAGAAACAAATGCTAATTCGATGATGCCGGCTGGCACACTGATTCACTATGAATGTAGGCCGCACCCCCTAGCGGCAGAAGCTCGTACTACATCCGGTTCGCCCTCTATTGACACAGTCTGTAAACTTTCCGATCGCACCTCGTATATATATATATATTATGAAATACAAAAAGATACAAAAGCTGGTAAAAGTACTTTAAAGTCTGCTGAAATATAGTTTAGTACATATTATTTGTAAAACTGCATAAAATAAGACAACTTAAAACCAGCGTCAGATAAAAAAGTAGGCGTAATACCAATTTAATTAAAATCTAAAGTTACTTTTCAAATGTTTTTCGGTATGTTAGATATCTTTGATCTCGTTTCATTACATTATATCGTCACATTTTCAAATTCACTACACACACATCAACAACTTGCTGTGATCACAAACACTCATTTATCCTTTACTTCTGATTTTCTCTTTCCATTTTAGACACTTTTTTACATTCTATTTTATGTTATTTCTCTTTACCTTTTATTCATTCTCTGTTCCGCCGCTCTAGGTGACACCTACTTTGCCTGGTGGTTAAACCAATAATGCATGTAACCATGTTAGAATTTAAATGTCAATGAAGAAAAAGAAGTGGTATGTATTCTTCAACAACTTCAAATTGAAAAGTATATAAATGGAGAAATAACACACAAGGTCTCGTAAATGCACATTTGTAAACTTACCTGAGGACGGCCCTTTAGACATTCCATTGACAGGTTCATTCTGTTTTGGAAGAAAATCAAGAGCAGCTTCAAACCTGCCCCCCGACATCTTCAGGGCGCGCACGGATGCTTCCTGTAACGAAACCATTTAATTTACAAAAAATTTTGTATTCACTGCAAATACGCTTCAGTAATAATAACCACGGAAGCCAGCCAGTTGCAGAGAGAGAACTTGCAATGTCAAAGTAATATAAAACAAACACTATTTCTGACTTTGATCTCAACACCTGCAGTTCTGTAACTGGTACAAATATTAAATGTGTGTCTGCATAATTAAAAATGGCTTCCTAATGAAACAGTGCAGAAATATAAAATAACGGATGCAAAAAAGAAACAAGAGTTTGCTCTTGAATGCCGTTCATTTGCACGCGTAATTTATATATGTTTTGTCAGTGTTCTAAGCATTTTATTTGGACTGTACAAGAAAAGGTATTCTGAATTTACAGAAACATAAATCAATATAAATGGCACATCAACACAAAATAATAATGATGTATTCATGCCGACTACTGCCGTGGGAAAACCTGATCTAGTTCATCCTCACTGATGATCAAGTGTTTCCACATACAAGATGAGTGAGAGAGTATACGTGAGATTTCTTGTCACTGTAGGCAAGGAAATGAGAGATATAGGAATGAAATGCTGTGGGAACCAGATCAGATACAACCTGTTCCAGTATTCTAATTCCTAAAGAGGCAATAACCAAATTCTTTTCCAAATAAGCTATAACTGTTGTTCTTGTAGAATGTCCACAGCCACATAGTATACATTCTTCTACCAATGCACTGATACTGAATGCATGTGACATACATTTTCCAAGATAGCCTACAAGCTAAGTAGTTCCTGTTATTTGAAATACCAAGCTTTTGGCGTATGACTTCTATACACTATAGATACAAGCTGATAATAATGATAATATAAGGACAGAGGTTCTTCGCTTGCAGCTGCCAATGTTCTGCGAGGCTCAAGTACACTTTTTGCAATACTATCTATTAAAATAGTTACTGCCTAAATGATATATTTAATTCCAAGTGAATAACTAGGAAAATACAAGAGTACCACCAATTTATTACAAAAAATACTGAGTAGGATAATATGTGAACTTGTACGCAGTATTAAAGGAACAATGTTTTAATAAATGGTCATTTGTAGCCAGGTGGCAAGTGAGTCAGTGAGAAAGGATGACTGTGCCCCAATGTTTGTAAACGTTGAGACTCCTGGCATAAGAGACAGAGTGACTGATGGCCAGCTTACAAGATAATGCCATCACCATGAATGGTGGGTTGGTAAGAATATTAACATAAGTCACGGACGAATGGATAGCACAAATTCTCTGCATTCGTGAGGTACCGGGCTTAAATCACGGCCTGTAGGCGGGCTATCCTGGGGGTTTACTTTGTTTTATTCAGGCAAATGCCGGGATAGCCCCTTAAATTAGACCACAGCCGCTTCCTTCCAAATCATTATTCATTTTATCAAGCGTCGTTAAACAAATCATAAATAATTAAAATGGATATGTACACGAAAGGATACGCAATTGTGATATTCACCTGCAGGATGAGGTAAACCACGAATAACCTCGACCAGGAAAGCCAATACGCAGTCGATTGCTTTCCTGCAGATACAGACCTACTGTTGCAAATTTAAAATAAATACTACATACATTATCGCGAGTCAGACACATACTTTTCCTTGAATTTAGCTGCTACGCTGAAAAATATTCCAAAGTAAAGCTGTGGTGAGGTTCATAATTTAAATGTCATATATCAATTTTTGTAGAATGAGGCTGTTTAAGAAAAACTAACACAATATAAGTACTTGGGTTATGTGGGTTGCATGTAAAGTCGTGGCTTCCAGTCAAAGTGAAATTTGCCAACCTTGAGTTTTGACAACCAACACCTAATTTAATTGAAATCAGTTGCGTCCTTTCGTAGGTGGAATACGCGAACGGATGGAGAGACTTCCCAAATCCCTCAACTTGTTCTCCGCACCAAAACTGATAAGCCGAGTAATCTCGAAATAAACTAAATGTTTCATCCCGAAATTGTTAATTATAAGGTTCCTATCACGACGCAGCACAAAAGCATCACTCATACAGTCAGTGCGACAGATATCTTTAACGCCGACTTATGATGTAGGCATACTTTAGCATCTAATGATGGGCGCTGGGATTATGAACTGCAAACCCAGAAGAAGCGACCGTAGTCCCTCCCCCAGTAACCGCATCCGAGTCCCTACAAATGAAACGTGGAAGGCGAGTGAGATGCCCAGCACACCGAACCACAAACTGGCACGTACAAACCACAAGTGCCACAATAATGTAAAACAATCAGCGAGAAGAAAACATCAATCCAACGGAGCTCAGGCGAGCTGTAATAAACCATGCAGAATGTCTACATCTGAAACAGAACTACAGACCTCATGTGTTAAAGCTGTCTTTGGTTTTCATTATAAACCACATCATGAAGACGTATCGGCATAGAATTTTAAAGTCTTCATTAAGTGATGTAACTATTAATGACGAACACACACCTTCACTGACTAAAGAATGACGGACGAACAACATTTTAAGTGACAGTTTAAGAGTTTTAAGTTGTACGGCAGGAGATACGCATGTATGCATATCAGAATTGACGCAACTGTGTGAAGTACCACTGATTAAGAAAGCGAACCAAATGAAAGTCAGAAGATGGATGTCTTCTGGGTTGTTGGGACGTGTGGTCTTGTAGGTGGTTAACAACATTTCGGAAACTCCACCGAGTCACAACTCAGACCACCACAACAGACATTATTTTAGTAAATTCCGGAGTAGACTAACAACACATACAGTCGCACTCCATGCTACTGTGGCCCCACCCAACCTAATGCCTCTGTTGTTCGTGTTCGGACATTTCAGGATTTCTGATAGTGGTCAAATCACTCATACGAAAAAAATAATAATTTCGGCATTATTATTCTTAGGATCTTGTAGCTGTTGAGTCAGTACGTCAAAATAAAAGAATTGAATTACTATTATCATCTTTGTCGGCCTCTTCTCTCAGCAACGTGGCGCATTCTTTGCTGATGACGCATCAGTCCCTGTCCCAAGAAAGCTGCGAATTGCATCTACAGGGTGGTCCAAAATGTACCAACAAAATTTAAACTGAATTTTCTCTACAAGGAGTGTTTTTAATTTGAAGACACTTTATTGACACGCTGCATTACACAAACTCTTTGTTTATAATTGTTTTCATTCGATTTTATACAGAACCGATCAGCGGATATTCATCATCGAAAAACACATTCGATCATCTGAAGGTCCAGAAGAGCATTCCCAGTAAAGTCTGGAGTCAAAGTTGGACCGGACAGGCACACAATTTCAAACCTCACTAAGAAATTTTGCAAGACAGGATCAATTTTGGACAATTACTCTCAAGGTTGCAGGCCCTCAACAGCAAGAACTCAAACTAACTTTCAGAGAGTTTGAGGGCAAACACACTTAATACGTCGTAATACAAATGGCTTGCGATACTTTTTGAATGGTACTGAATGAGATTTTCATGTCTCATCATTCAGGTGAAACAAAGCATAAAAATTGGGAGGTACATTTTGGACTATCCTGTACTACCAACAACAAAAATACTAACCTTGTGCTGATAAAAATTTCAACCAAAAGAAACAAGAATTACGCGTGGTATGTAAGAGCATCATATGTGTAAACACAATATCAAGGAATTGCCAATTATCGTTTACAAACAACAGTTTAAAACTGCGTCACAAACTGTCACACCGCCGAATTGTACGCTAAGCTTCAAAGACACGAAGAGAATTGTAATGATGTGTAGAAACGCATGTCGTATTCTTGCCGAAACTGTTTCCACTACGACTTATACAAAATTTCGTTAGTATATACGTAATCGATATTATCATACGTGAAGAGTCAAGTGAACCAAGATTTCCTTTTATTTTCACATAGCCATACCGTTCACGTATGCGCCAGTTCACCAACGGTAGTACCACGACAGGTGTTGTCACACCGGAGACACATGACTCACATCCCATATGGTCCTCCAGCCCCTTATAACTACTTAAAAGTAACCCCTACCATAACTTCCCACCCCCGGGGCCCTCAAACTCAAATACCACAGTGGTGGTGGTAACATTCTTCCCTGTATATGTCCACATGATATCCAGACTGGACCGAGTGACCGACAGCGACGGACCGATGCAGACACCCTGCGGCCCGCGTGTGACAAACTAGAGATGGCGCTATTAATGTTAGCTATGTTGCCGTAGCCGCGCGGTCTGAGGCATCATGCTTCGGACCGGCGATACGGAATGCGCGCTGGTTCGAGTCTCGGGGGAGAAGAAATTTTCTCAAGAGCTTTCGACCGGTGTATGTTATCGGTGCCAACCCAGCATCGTGAGGAAATTGGGGAGCTGCAACGAGTAGCGTAATCCGGTCAGGAAAGCTAGCAATGGCTGGGGGTTCGTCGTGCTGACCACACGTCACCCTATATCTGGTTGGATGATCGTTCACCTCTGCTTAGGCTAGTCGGCTTTGGCTCTCAGAGGGCTCTTACGCCACGGATTTAATTTAATTTAATGTTGCAAGAGGCGAAGCAAATGAGAAACCATCCAAGCTGTTGGCCGACAACAAATAGGAACCGCGTCACTTTGCAGTCATCAGTTGTCACGAGATATGATTTCATCATCGTCTGCAGTGGAATGCAGTGTTGTGGTATCTGCGTTTTAAGAACGTAATGTTACCAAGAAGAACACACATTCAATGGGTGCTTAACACTGATACTCCAGTGGTCCCAGAGGCCTTTCGATGTGGTGGCAAAGAGTACTGCCCCAAAACGACAATCCCGATTCTGACTAACCTATGAAGAAGCCTCGAAGTACAGGTAGCGCACGCAAGACATGAAGAAATCCCACTCCTACAGCACCATAAAAACGGGAAAAGTACCCATGACACCGTGTAATTTATCGGCTTTATCATTCTTCGTTCACTAGAAACATTTTTTTTTTCTAATTGCAAGTTAGTTGAATCACATTTAAGTTGGTGTTTCTAAGGGATTCAAACCTTGC